ATTTATAAATAATTTCAGTGTGAAATATAGCCTTAAAACTCCAAGCTACCCTGAACCAGGGCTTCAGCTCCTCTCCCAGCGAGTTCTAAATCCAAAGGAAATGTGTGGCTACTGACTTCTTCTGATGCCAGTGCTGAAAACTACAGCTCTCACCACTGAGTGATTTCCCAGCTCAGTGTGATGCTCTGATGTCCTGGTTTTTGCTGGGATAGGGTTAATTTTCTTCTTAGTAGCTAGAAAGCCCTGTGTTTTGGTTTCAGTGAGGATTGTTATGAGAACAATGTCAATAACTACAAGGACACTGTGCCTGGGCAGTTTCCCAGAAGAGAGGACTGGCAGGGGGGAGTGGAGAAGAAAAGTGTAGTAGTGAGTAAAACCAGAAGTGACAGTTGGATGTGCCAATCAGATATTCCAGATCATATCACATCATGTTTAGTATGTTAACCGGGATTGACTGAAAAGTGGGCGGATTCTCTTGGGAATCACTCAGGCTCACTTTTCCAGGATTGCAATTTCAGTTTTGGGTTCCTTTTCACTCCTCTGGGATCGTTAGTGGCGGGTGGTGAGCAATTGTACTCTGCATCACTCATATATATATATATATAAAAGTTGTTATAATTATTACTGTTATTATTCTTATTATTTTAATGTTATTTTACTCTAATTATTACATAGTTCTTATCTCAACTTACAAGTCTCCTCTCCTTTACCCCTCCAATTCTCTCCCCGATTCCCTGGGTGGGGGGAAGGGGGCAGTGGAGGGGGGAAGGCTGCAAGTGGCTGCGTCTTTTTTGGCTGCCAGCTCAGTTAAACTATCACATCTGACTGGCTGCATTTCTAAGTTTTTTGTACAAGTTAAAAACCCCAAGAGGTCAATCAAAAGAATTCAAAGCAGCCATGCTTGGCTTAAAAATGAAGAAATGTAAATCCTTTGATTTTGGGACTGTGGTGTGCTATTTGAATGAGAGGGATTCGCAGTGGCACCTAAAAACGATACTGATGTCCATGTAACTCACTGCAGGCAATTTGGCTAAATATGTGTCTTTGCTCATTCTATTTATAAGTAGAACATGAAGTATAGTTATCAACCTGCTGAGAAAAATTGGATTCAGGTTTTATTAGTTCCTCAAACTGTAACCTAGCTGGGAAAAGATTTACGTTAAGTGTCAGTGTGATTGTCAAATGGGAGAAAAGTTGATCATGATGAATAAATAAGATGCAAAGATAGCTTGGCACCCTCCAAAACCCCAAAGCCCAGTCCCCCCACCAAACCCAGAGATTTCCTGACCTTTTTGCAAAACCAAATACTATTCAATGGATAGATATAACAAGTGTGCGTGTGTGTGTGTGTGTGTGTGTACCTTTTCATGTGTAAATTGTAACTTGCTAAGTAAGCAAGAGTCTCTCCTTAATTTATGGCAAATGGAAAGGATTTATCCCATACTGAGAGACTGGTTTACTTTCTCATGTGTAGTGGGTAGGAATTGGATGTTCCTAGTCCTCAGGGATGCGTTGAGCCAGTCTAAGGATATATGCAGCATTAGTGCTATACATAGAAAAGTGTATGTTGTAAACTAGTGAGGCAGTTAGAAAGCACCACTTCCTGCTGCAGAGGTTTTGAAAGAGAAGTACTATCTTTAAATAAAGGCTACCATTAACTGAAAGCACAGTGGATGGATTTAGAGAGAAGTGGGCTTTCAGTCAGGCTCGAATGGTGCAATGAATACCTCAAGGAGTGTAATGTATAAAATTAGCATAAACCCAGGAAACTCCACGCCATTAGCTGTCATATATCACAACAGAGACATGTCGTGGGCAGGGGCTGTGGCTGCCCGTGCTTGCTGGCATGGTGCAGTACAGTGAAAAGCAGCAATGCCTGTCTCAGCTGCAGCTGAATCCAGTCCTGGTAGTTTGTTACTGGTTGCCCTCATAGCATTGGTATGGTTTATGGGCACTTAAAGGGACAATTACAACAAAACTCTTCCTGCTAATGGAAACAAAACAAAAATGTTGATTTTGGTTTTCAATGGTTTTTTCAAAGATTTACCACTTCTGCTATGAGGAGACGTGTATAAAATGCCTGGAAACCTCCCCTGAAGTTTTTTTATCTCATACAAATGCTCAAATACCAAACAACAAGACCTTGGGGACATAATTAGCAAATTCTAGATAATAGCATGCAAATATGTTGCATAAAAACTGATGATGTTATGCTGGCAATCCTTGGAAGTCTTCCATTCCACTGTGTGACAAAGAAAGGAGAAGTAGTGCAGGTTGTCAGGAGGAGCCCTTGACTTGGAAGTGAAGGGTTTTTGCAGAGTGCAGCTTGCAGAGGGTCCAGGTCCATCAGGGCAGTTTGAGTCACAGTAGCAAGTCCGTGCTGCCGAGGGAGAGGCATCTGGAAGGCGTGTGCGCTGTGATGCACGGTGCTGGAATCGTGGGAAACCACTGGGACTAGGTGGGAAAATGCTCTCCTTTCCTAGAGAGCTGGCAGAAAGCTCTGGGCTTGCACCTTTCATTCTGGAGACAGCACATGGATCATATTTAAAGGTGCCTTTTACTCTTCCCACCTGGTAACTTACCATTGTCTGACAAAAGAAAAGGAAAGTTAAATAAACCAAGTGAGACTGCACTGCTCAGCCTGGCAGTCCACCCTCTTCAGGCTGATTTAATGCTTCTTGATTTAAACTTCTTGTTTAGTCTCACAGTGTCTTCCTCTTTCTTTCTGCACGTCTTAGCATTTCTTAAAAAAAAAAAAAAAGTAAAAATACCATTTCTTAAAAATACCACTTGCTTGGGGGTGGGGAAAGAGGCAGTTGTCTTATCTCACTTGCTTAGGCAGATTGAAATTTGAAAAGTAATTTAATTTCAAGTGACACTCATGCTACACTTACTCGTAGCCAATAGGTCTCGAGTGTGAAAGTCCACTTGTAGCTGAAATTTCAAAAGTTGAGCATATAGGATATATTTACACCTAATACAAGGCATTATATGAAAAGGGACTAGTATACTGTTGAGTGTGTTGAATGTTCAGTAGCAAAAAATTGAATATTTAATATTTGTGGAATTATTGCATGTGGAAAATTGCTCAATGAAGATGCTTTTCTCTAAGCTTTCTTAGAAACCAGGTGGTACTAAGGTCCACAACAAAAGAGCCTATTCCTCCCACTACTCTAGAACAACACTTCTGTGTTAGTTGGGAAGTAAGAGTGTTTCTTCAGTTTTGACATATTGCCAGTTCCATCAATGTCTAGAAATAGGGTGCAACTGGCATGGACTCGTTTTGTAAGATTGGTCCTTGATTTTCCCATGTAAGAGAACTCAGCTTCACAGATGACAACAGTCCTTTTTCCATTCACCTAACTCCAGTCCACAGTACCAAAAAAAATCTTTGCTTTGGCACCAGGTGATGGCAGGACCTTCCTGGGGAGGCCCCTGAAGAAGGACTCTCAGTTGTCTGATTGACATTTTCCACCCCAATGCATTGTCGTTGCAAGAGTAAAAAGGATATTTGGAGGCTGTGGAGTGCACACAGTAAATGTGTCCTGCAGGATGCACTAAATCTGGGTACAACTGCAGGTTTCCCTGGGGAAATCAGCTGTGGTGGGGGAGGCCACAAAGAAAGGTTATGGTAAGCAGCATGGGCAAGTGGTTGTTTTGTCCCAAAAGCTGTTGTCTATGATGGTACAGACACATTTGGTGTTTACAAGGTGTGTCAAGCAGAGCAGGGGTGTAAAGCATGTACTTACCATGCTCTGCCAGCAATTCACAGCTTGATCATGCCATATTCAGGCCAAGTGCAATGATCCCCTGACCCATACCTCCAGCTCCAGTGTCCCAGCGTGTGCTGCTGTCTGTTGATCAAGCTGGCAGCCCCTCACTCAGCAGAGCGCTTGGGGATGTGCTGAGTGAAGGGCTCCACCAAACTCTGGCCTTTGGCTCAGGCCACAGCCCACAGAAATCAGGAGAGATGCCTGCTGGCTTGGCTCAGCTTCAGGTCAGGTCCCAAATCCTTCAGGACGATCCTTGCTCAGATTATTGCGTGCTGTAAACACCGAGTGCATTGGCAATAAACACATACTCCAAAATAACTTCTTTTTTTTTTTTTTTTAACAGTAGGATTTTATTAGGCATGAAAGCACAGGTAAAATATTTGTTGCCATCAATAACCCTAAAATCACTTCCATATGAATATTTAGCATCAAAACTATACCCCTTGACTATCAAAAATATTCCCCTTTGCTAACAGTCAGCTATCATTCATTAAAGGGAATGGAAGGGAAATTTTGGGGAGGGACTTTTTACAAGGGCAGGTAGTGATAGAACAAGGGGACATGGCTTTCAGCTGAAGGAGGGTAGGTTTAGATTAGATATTAGGAAGAAGTTCTTCACTGTGAGGGTGGTCAGACACTGGAACAGGTTGCCCAGAGAAGCTGTGGATGCTCCCTCCCTGGAAGTGTTAAAGGCCCGGATGGATGAGGCTTTGAGCAACCTGGTCTAGTGGAAGGTGTCCCTGCTGATGGCAGGGGGGTTGGAACTGGATGATCTTTAAGGTCCATTCCAACCCAAACTATTCTGTGATGCTATAAAGAGTTGTATCTTCCCTTACAAAAGGAGTTTAGGTCTATGTACATTTGTACCACATGTGCATACACCGACACACGCACAAGTTATGATGATGGAACTGTTTAACAGCTTCTGCATCCTTAAATTCTTCTCCATCTCCTGTTCTAGGCATAGAGCTCTGCTTTTGCTTCTACTTTCCTCTCTCTTGATTCAATTCCGTGTCAGCCTTGTCGTACTGTACTGCTTTTGTTTTTAAAATCTTTACTGTTTTAGAATAGTTACTTTACTGTTTTAGAATATTTAATGCTTAACAAGAGACATGTCAGTACTTCAGTGCAGCCATTAAGTCTCTTCATATGGGTAATAGCAATCTGTCAGCGGTGGCTAGCCCTGCAGAAGACATATTTACATGTATTTCTTCTTCACAGAGCCTTCTAGACGAAGACAGAGCCATCCTGGTCACTGGTGTTCAGGGTGATGTTGCTGTTCACGACGCTTTCTGCATAGCTGGCTGAATAGGTGACCTGGTAGCGACTGCAGGGGCCACAGAAACACAGGAATGGACAGTACTTCAAGCAGACACGATAAAGGTATTTCCTAAATTTTTCCCCAGCAAAGGCATAGATAAGAGGATTGAGACAACAGTGACTGAATGCAATGGTTTCGGTCAGGTGCATCGCATAGTCCAATGATTTAATTTGGTTGCAATCTGTGAAGAGCCCATAGCGCTTTAGAGTCTCTAGAAAAATCAGTACATTGTAGGGGGACCAAAACAGAAGAAACACGACCACCACAACCAAGATCAGTTTTATGGCTCGTGTTTTTTTCTGATTTTTGCAGGACAGCAGGGTTTTGACAATCCCACAGTAGCAATAGCATAGGATACAGACTGGGATGAGAAAGCCAATGGTGTTCAGCTCCACATTGCAGAACACCGGCCAGATGTTCTCCAGCTCTTGGGGGAAGACAGAAGTGCAGTCGTTTTCCACCAGCTGGGAGAACACAAAATGTGGCACTGACACTAAAACAGCTATTGCCCATACTCCACAGGTGATAAGAAAGCCGTGTTTCACTGTTCTGGATTTCAGAGAATATGTTGCCCGGACAATGGCCAAGTACCTGTCAATACTGATAACAGTGATAAAGAACATGCCCCCAAAGAAACCGATGTAATACAGGGAGGAAACAGCTGTGCATGGGATAGTCCCAAGGGTCCATCCACGCACCGTGTTGGAAGCCCAGAAGGGGAGGGAGATCACGAAGAGAAGGTCTGAGATAGCCAAGTTCAGGAGGTAGATGTCAGTGATGCTTTTTTTACTACCTTCTTTCACAATGGCAAAAACCACCATTAGATTCCCTGTGAGGCCAACAGCAAACACTGCAATGTAAAATATTGGCAGAAATATCTTCCCAAATACTTGGATGTCAGTCTTATTGCAGGAAAAAGCATGTTCGTCGTAAGTGTATTCAGCTGTCGTTTCTGTGAATGCTTCTGTCATGCTGGATTTTGTGGCTAGAGGCAACGTGAAAAGGGAAAAGAGAATAATGTTAGAGAGAGAGAGAGAGAGATCCAGCATCTGCTGTGGTAAAACGCTGAGAGACCTCACCAGCACGCACGCTTTGGGATATCGTCGCTGTTGGGATTAGTCAGAGTTGTATTACTGCGGAGGTGACCGTAGGTACCAACGTCAGGCCAGACTCTGCTGTTACATGTACGTCACTGAAAATTAGCTCTTTAGGATAAGAAAATGTAAATGAGAATTTCAAGGACTGTCGAATAAGCCCCTGCTTATCAGAGCTGGAGCAGAAGCAGCAGCAACCCGACATCCGACTAACTGAGCTCTGCAGGTGGTGCATGGCAGCGTGAG